CGCTTCCACACGTGTGGGAATCGATGAACAAAGAGGCAGTAACACGACCAAGTTGTTCTATGCATATTGACGTATTTGTCACATTGATGCTGGATCAAGTGACTGCTTTAGCAAGCGAAAAATGTAAATAGCATCACCAGGAACCGCCAAACATGCAAGGGTTTGTAGACTAAACTTTCCAATGGAAGAAGTCTACAGACAAGAGCTGCAGTGCTGGGAGAATCTGACGTCGAAGTTGTCGAAGTATCACCATAAGTTCGGTAACCGTATAGACCTCGGGGAGATTTTGTGAGGCTTAGGCAAAGCGGGGAAAGGAGAAAGCTGATGAGCAGGGAGCTTCGACCTATTAGCCATTGACCAATCCGTGATTTGGATCATGAAATCACCTCAGTTACGTTTGAGTCTAAAACAACAGTCTTTGAGCCATTGCATCCGAGTCGTTAGGTAACTAGGCTGTCGGATAACCATGGAAAAGAAGCCCGTAGATGTAGGCGATGGAGGTTCTTTCCTTGGACAAATGCCTTCCATGCTTTGCACGCAAGAAGCCCAGCCGCGATGCTTTTGAGCGAGATTTCCTCGAGGATTCATCCATGGATAAGTCAGATCTCAGCGGGTAATAACGAAGACCAGGCGCCGCTTGTTCTTGCGCTTTTGGGGGCCGTGAACCTTTCGTTCGCAGGAGGAATTATCCCCTTATCGCTTCGGCATGTCAAAATTAAAGCATGCCAACTGGGGATTGCGATAGTAATATAGCCTGAGTAGCGAAAGCTTTGAAGAAAATTGTGGACGGCATGTCTCCTGGAGCTGCTTCGGTTCGAGCTCAGGAATCCAGCTCTGCCGCCACTCCGCATCCGTCCAGCCCTCGTTGCTGATTCAATGGCCAATCAACCACCATTCAACGACACATTTATTTAGTAAAGTAGCACGAATATTCCCTGCTCAACAACCCCAAAAGGCACAAGAGCGACGAGACGGGCGAAAAAATGGCGGCCGCATCGACAGCTTCCAAGCCCGAACAGACACAAGAACCCACTTCCTCCTCCTTAAACCCCACCATACCGCTAGCTCAACAACGCCTTGCATCTCCGTTTCTCTACCAAGGCCCACCGTCCCCAAACACCCTACCAGGTTCCAACTACTACAATCTACCTCAGAACAGCGCCACGGTTAAACCTGCCTCAGCAGCCGCTGCGGCTCATCCTAGCGTCCAACCCCCGCTTCTTCACGAACATTCAATTCAAAGCACCCACACCCAAGGTAGAACTGCCGCTACGATTATCACCACTACCACCACTCAACTCACCCCAGCCCAAGGCCCAATCCCAAGCTCACCGTTGATGCGCCCATCACGGTTCCCGACACAGGGACAGGGGTCTGGATTAAGTTATGCAGGGGCTTATGGCACAGGAATGGGACTGGGAAAGGGGCTGGGCGACGGACAGGGTCCACACGCCCACGCTCGAGATGGTAATTCCGGCGGCAATGCAGATGCGCTCTGGCAGCAAATGCAAAATACACTCGCGGAGGTGGAGCTGAGTGCCATGAGTGGGGACCATGTATTCGGCAGGCAACACGCCCAAGCACTGCAGGAATTGAGGGATAAGCAGTTGTTGTTGGCATTGGCATGGGCGCGGAGTGAGGCTGATGAGGTTGTGGAGAATCTGCCGGCTGATGAGAGTGCATCTATCACTTCTGCTACTGTGGCTGGTGCTGCTACAACTAGTAAGGGGGTTGGCACAGGGGGAGCAAGTGGAGGAGGTGGAGGTGGTGGTGTAGCTGGAGGGGGAGGGGGGACGGAATCTACGGGCAAAGACCCCACTGCCCCAGCTACGGATAAAGAAACACAGGAGAAATTAATGAGCGAGAAGACGGAAAGAGACATCCTTCTCGCGCGCAAGAGGAGAGAAGCGAATGATCGATATTTTGACAGGGTCAACAGTGGTGTTTTAGATGTGGTTGCGAAACTTGAGGAGGTTGCGTCGGCGATGAGAGTGGTAGAGCGGGAGAGTAAAGATATCTGGAATGAGAGTGGCGATGATGGTAATGATGGTGAAAATGATGGTGAAAATGATAGTAATCATATGGATGGACATTCTGCTGTTGGCTCTGCTGCTGCTTCCACCGCTACCACCACCAGCCGCAATCACCAGCGCACTACCTGACTGAAGCGTGGAAGAGAACAGGGGCGAATGGCCTTACATTGTTTGGAAAAAGAAGAAAAACAGGAGAAAAGAGAAAAAGCAAAAAAAAAAAAAAGGCTTGATTGGTGGGATTAGAGAAATTTCTCTGATTTACAGATCTCACCTTTATGTTCTCAGTCTTTCTCTTCTATCTATCCTATCACAGCTTCTCGCAAGAGCAACGCTGCTCCTGCGACTGCCAAAAAAGACACCAACCACTTTGCCATCAAAGACATTGGCTTCCTCTGCAACGTCACGATGATAAATTACTTTTTAGCTTTTATCAATTGGTGGTAAGGGAGTCGATCCACTTTGGTGACCGTCATTCATATATCGATTGGCGGTTCATCGGCTGCTATTGCAATTTCTGCGCCATCACAGTTTTACTCGGATAGTGGTTCTCCAAAACAAATACCAACAGGAGAGAGGGCCCCACTGGTTTCTTTTAAGTTCTTAGCAAGATGACTACAGAATTCCATCATTCAGTGTCATTACTATTATATTATCCTCGTCATATTCACCAAACAAATAAACCCAAAAGCCCTTGCACCCGAAGAAAATCGGATATCCTCTGATTCGAGTCAGTAGCTCTATCTTCCTTTTGGAGCTGGCTGCCATATCCCGTTTATGTTCATATTCTTGTGGAGCAGGAAACCAGGAGCAGGATGCGGAATCCTCTGTCCTTATATCTATAACTCCGTTGCACCACCTGCGTAACATGGTTGGAGTAATATCAAACCCTTGACTCATTCGTGCATGGCGAGGCAAAATCATTCAGGGGCATCTTACATGGGATAAAGATCGGCTGGCCCGTTGGCGGGCGGGCAACACACGGAAGGAATGGTTGGAATGATGCAAAGGGAGGTGATCATCGCGTTATCGGATAGGGGAATTATTTAACAGGAGCAATACATTCCATGCATGTCAAGCTCCAGGTTACATACGGTTGGGGTTGTCTGCGTTAACGATAAATAGTCTCGGAAGGTTACTAGGGAAGCGCTCTTCCGCAATAGGTATTAAATGCTATATCCTGCTGATGGAATGATGAAATGAACTTTCATATCCAGGGCGTCTAAATAATTCAAATAAGCGTATTGACGTTGCTGTAGGGAATATTGCAATAAAAATGCATGTCGTTCAGCAACCGCAAATATAGAGACGAAGAATTTGGGTATATCAATCCAAGTACCATCACCCAAACACCAAAACGCCAGGACCATTCCCAATACAAAAATAAAGATATTCCACAATAAAAAGGGTCAATCGATCAATCAAACAAAGTAAAACGTCTCAATCCCCATTCCTATTCTCCCCAACGGCTCATCACGCTTCTCTCCGGCGCTCCTCCCCTGCCAACCCCTTAAAAACCTCGCCCCCTCCCTAGCAATCCCCTTCAATCCCACCTCCTGCATCCTCCTCACCCACCCCTCAAGCTCCCTATTCCATCTTTCCTTCGCCAAATCCATAATCCCCGGGCGTTCGCGCGGGTAATATCCCCTCCGCGCCAGGACGGCTGCGATGGCATCGGTGTCGTCGGCAGACGTATTTCGTGTGTGGGATGTGTAAACACTTCTGTTGCTGGTATCGGTAGCGACAGTGGAGGTTGGCAATAATGCTATGGCGTTTATGGAATCTATCTGCTCGCGCAGCAGGAGGTGCTGCTGTTGCCGGTTTGCGAGATGCAGATGAACGGTGAGGGTGAGTGTGGCGGTTGTGAAGGTTAGGCCTGTGAGCTGCGATTCGATGATGTGAGTTTTGTGAGGTTAAAGGTGGATGTTGGTGTCGAATATATACTAGTTACTAGTATATATATGCGTATGATGTTGGTGGCTGGCTTGAATGGGCGGGAGTGCTGCGGCTTGGTTGAGATGATAGGACCAGGGCGAGAACTTACGAAGCCTTTTAGGAAACTCATTCTTGAGCGCGTGAATAGTAGTAGTTATGGAGAGTGTTTACTCTCTAATAATTATTTTCGCCTCTGGGTAGTATATGTAAAACGCAGCTTCTCTGGATTGTAAGGGGAACTCAAGCAGAAAAGAATGCGCAGCTCCCTATACCGAAAACGAGTATTTCGTGAAATGCAGCCAAACCAAAAGTTTCAGAATATACAAAACCGCACGGCCCGAGAAATTGAGATACTCAATCCAATGTTGCTCAATACACTCAATATTGGTAAATAATTGTTTCTTCTGCCTACTTAGAGGTGTTGGAAACCGAGATTTTTCTATCTCGTCGCTGGCTCTACTCCGATTGGCTGGATCCTGCTCAGCTTCACTTTTCTCCAAAACTTCAACTTCTCCAGAACAACCAAACCCACTAGGAACAACCCCCGCCAATCGACAAAACTGCGCCCCCCAATTCATTCGATCGGTCAGTGAATTAGGGCTTCTTCAGCTTACCATCCCGAAGTCAATTTTCCCCCCTGAATTTCCACGTCCACTCCCGCAGACTCAGCAACCGCCAAACAATTCGTCGCCTCCCCGCCTCCCCTACGTAAACCCATAATCTAAGAAAAATCATGGCAGGCGGCCATATGAAATATCGGCATCTCGGCCGTGACTCAGCCCATCGAAAAGCGCTCCTGCGAAACCTCGTCACATCCCTCTTCGAGCACGAAGCAATCACAACAACTTGGCCGAAGGCCAAAGAAGCACAACGCATGGCGGAGAAGTTGATCACGTTGAGCAAGAAGAATACGCCGACGAGTCGGCAAAAGGCGCAGGCAGTGTTTTTCGTATGTGTAATAGATTTTATTCCCCCCCCTCCTTCTTTTTTTCCTCCGTATCTGTTATTTCTGAGATACATGCATTCTATTTTCGACCTGGATGGGCCCAGTCGGTTTTTAATCTGACGGGATGATGGCATCGATCTCTTTGGATTTACAATATCCCGTTTCACAAATATATTAAAAGAAAGAAGAAGAAGAAGAAGAAGAAGAAGAAGAAGAAGAAGAAGAAGAAGAAGAAGAAGACTGCTTACACCGTTGCATTTTACTCAAAAAATAAACCGACTCCAATATATTACACAAAACTAACCCAAATCCCCAGAAACCGGAGCTCCTAACCAAACTCTTCGGGCCCATCCGCGAACGCTACCTAAACAGGCCCGGTGGTTGCACGCGCGTACTACGCATCGAACCCACAAAACCTGACCAGGCGCCCTCCGCCATTCTCGAACTAGTTGACGGACCGAAAGATATGCGCTTCGCCATGACGGCGCGGACGCTGGCTCGCAAGCGTGCGGAAGGCGATGAGAGCATGAATGAGCTTACGGCGTTGAATGTGTTGAAGGTTACGAGATTTAGGCCTGACGGAGAGAAGGCGTTGGAGAAGGAGGTTGAAAGGATCCAGAGGGAGCAGGAAAGGAAGAAGAGGGAGGAAGGGGAGGAGGTGGATTAAGTCCATTTTTTGGGTGCGGGTTTTCTCTTATCGATGTTTTGGCATTTATCACGTTTTTCTCATTTTTTCGTATGTTTTGGGTATATATAGGGTAATTTTCCCGCATTTTCTTTGTGCATCTCTTGTCTGCGGTTTGCTCTCCATTTTTAAAGACTGTGTTTATGGGTGTATAATTGGTCCTGTTTCGCTGGCAGTTTGATTTATGAGACAAAGCACAAGCCATAAATGGCTGCCACTGTACATTATTTCAAGGCAGAAAAAAAATAGATATTTTAGATCACGAAGAGTTGTAAGCGTACTATTCTTCTTCTCCCACCATTGATTCTAATATGGATAAGCTCACGTACTATTATGAAAGGGCATCCAGAATTACTCAAAACCGAAGACTAATCTTTCCACGCGTCCCAGTCCCAATTGGAAAACGCCATACTATATGGATGGGAAGTAAGAAAAGAATAATAACGTAGGCTGGATATCACGAAGAGGGAGAAAGTACAAAGAACAGAAAAATAAAAACAAAAGTTTAACATATGTTAACATATATTTTTTCTTTCCTTGATTTTCCTTGTCATGTTTAGCTTGTCAAAGGGAACTCGAGAAGAGACAATTATGAACACTTATTGCTTCCAATATTTCCTCCTTTTGTCATTTCGAACTAACAACCTTGAATCCATTGCTAGGGCTTTCATGCATCACGGTGCCACCAAAGGAAACCGCAGGTTGGCCGACAAAACGATGAAGTAAAGCGTAGTAGTGACCCAGTCGGGCCAATTGAGTGATACATCTCGCGGAAGCACTTTGTTTTCCATTCTCTTTCCTTTCCACCTATTTTGAAGCTCATCAATAAACCAGAAGGTATCCAGATACACCAGCTACCACCACCACACCCAGCACGCTCCCGCCCAAACTCCAAACCACACCATTCTCATCTCGCTATGATATAGTAACATTCGGTTCACTCCAATATGTCCACATATCACATCATATTCAATGCCGTGTTGTGCCCTGCCATGCTGCGCAAACTATGTGGGCAAGAAAATAAAATTAAAAAATATATGCAAATGAGACGTTTACAACCCAGTGGCAACATTTCCCCGTGGTCTTTGATGTCCCATTCCGCCTGATACAACAAGAGGACCATTTTGTTTAGGGAGAGGTGCGGGTGGTGTACTTGGAAATGATCGAGGGGGAGGAGGTATCGCTGAGGAGGCCTTATTTTTGAGATCGAAATCATACGCGACTTTGGATGGGGGCGGTTTCGGGGGGAGATGAGCTGGTGTGCCCCATTTAGCTATTGAGTCCCGGGTCAACATTGAAGAAGGGCCATGGTGATTGGGTGTCGAATGAATCATGGAAGATGTGGGAGCATGTGTTTTGGCATTCGTCTGGCAATTAGGCTGGTTTGAAGGGTTGCGGCTCGAGGGATCGTAGTTGACTCCCGTCCATGATGTCGGAGCGGGATATTGAGAGGGGTGTAAATAAGCTGGGTTTATACTTGGCTGTTGTGGCAGGTTCCCAGCATATAGAGATTGACTGTTGCTTCCAGGAACGAAAGATCTTGTTTGAGGATTAAAAGGCGGACGGGGAAAACTTCCAGGAAGAGAATGCTGTCCTGGGTTGTTCTGATGACCTGGTGTGAACGACTGGTTTGGAATCTGACCATAGGGGTAAGCTACCTGGCTCGCATTCATAGAGTGTTGTGAATAATTTGGCCACTGTGCATTATTAGACGGATTGCGTTGAGCAGTTGATGGAGGATACACGGTTTGGTACTGTGGCTGGCTCCAGGTTGAAGAGCTCTGTTGCTGGAACGAGAGAGTGCTTGGATGGGGGGAATATGAACTTATTCCAGGAGAGGATCTTGTTGAAGGCTGCTGAGGAACAATTGGCGGTATTTGGTTGACTGGAGAAAACCCTGAATACGGGGGAGATTGCTGTATATGCCCGGGCTGCCAATTAGTTTGATTCATGTGAGGCGGGACAGCAACATTATACTGTGTTGGGGCAGATGTCAAGTTCCCCTGAGTTTGATATACCGCGTTTACATTGTTGCCAGGAGGGAAATTTGAAAGTGACGGAGAAGAAGTCGATACATAAAAATGCGCCTGGGCACCAAATGACCCTTCAGTAATCATACCATTAAATGGAAGTGGTGCACTAGAGTATGGAGCTCCCGGATAGTACGCATTGAATTGGGACCGTGCCTCGAAACTGTCATCATGTGGCGTTCTCTGTTTATGTCCCTTTCGTTTGCCATTCCCGGAGTTGGACCGCGATACATTTGCACTCTGATCTCCGCTGTTTGAATGGTCGGAGACCTTAGATTCTGGGAAATCTCTAAATATCCGCTCTCGAGCCTCCTGATATTTTGCTTCACGCTCCTCTCGACTCAGGGTCGCCCGGTCTTTCGCTGGAGTGGCTCCAGCAGATGATCCAAACCCTTCCTCATTAGTACCGCCGGCTTCTGATGTAGCTTTTGAAGGGGCTGCTGAACTAGGTGCCGTGCTTCCTGCACCCGACACTCTTTCCCCCGGTTGACCGGAGCGACGCATGATTTTCATCGCCGGTACATTTGGAGGGGGGGTTTTGTTTGCATTGGGTGGTTGGAGCATATTTAAAGGAGTGGGCCTAAGTCTCGAGTTTAGTGAGCTGCCAATTTTATAATACAGATTTAAGGCTAGGTTTGAGAACTCACAGTCTGCACCAAGGGGTTCTATGAAGTCGAACGGATGTCACATTATTATCAACAAAATGAGTTAGATGGTAATAATCACCGAGTTTATGCGCAAGAAGACGTCCAAATGCGTTGCACGGAGGCAATTCCAAAGACTGTTCACTATACATGGGTCAGCAGTGTAGTTGAAGGGGCTTCCATTGGAATTCAGGCTCGCATACTCGGAATCTTTAATGAATGCAATTATCTTCTCCTCCAATTGAAGAATCAATAACCGGTCCTTTGGCGAGTTCATCGCATCAAGCAACTTCTCATCCGGTTCATTGGGGAAACTATGGAGACTTGGTTCACTTGGGCCGTTCGAGGAGATGATTCCCGGGACACCTGTGTTATTAAGTCGTGTTCTGTTAGGAATGCGGTCAGACAAAGTGCCCTGGTCGGTTATGCGATACAAGCGTCCACCCGCCTCTGAGCCGACTTGGGAATTTGGTGCACCAGAAGCCGGTCCCGAGAAAGAGTCATCCTCTTCCGCTGCTTGGACGCTAGCGCTATCATCTGGGCGCAATGATTCTTTTTCATCCATAGCAAAAGTCGTCACAGAAACCATGCTCTTAGAATCAAAGCTCGTTGGTTTGGTTGAAGAATTTGAAAGATGCGTTTGGTCGTCTTCAAAGGCCAGCTCGGGCTTAGCCGCACCATCATCATTGCCGTCTCCAGATTCCGAATTGGCACCATGGTCCTTCTGCGAATTTATGTGGAAATTCTGCACCGACTTGTTTTAAACTCTCTACATCATCGTGCGCTTTCTGGTTTAGGTCCTGGGGCAGTTCACGACGATCGCTTTTTGAATCACTCGAGGCTTCATGAGTCGGAATTGGGCTGTCAGTGGCACTTTCAATCTGCGTAGTGTGGTTTTGCTGTGTTGGTGGAGGGTGCATTGCCGCCACCTAAGGCAAGGAATATTAGTTACATTCTGTAGCATTCGACATTAAATAAAATGGAAGGAAATTACAGTGCATACCTTTGCAAAAGAAGGGCGCCTCAGATCTTGTTGAGAAGTTTTAGAGGCCATGACGTTGAGCCCACAAATAGCCTGGCCAGTGGACAATACCGAACGATGATTTCAAGATATTAACGCAGCTTAACAAAATATCCAGAGCAAGGATCAAATGGACTCAATGTCGCAAGGAAATCCCATTTCACACAAGTCTATATCGTTGGGAGACATATCTCTGGGGAAGGAAACTCGCCATAGAAAAGGGGAATGAGCGAAGGTCAATAAAAGAAGGGGGAGGAGGAGAAGCAAATCAGGAAGCTGAGGACATGGTATAATGCCGAGAGATTCAATGTGAGTGTTCGGCGGGGGTTTGATGCGTATATTGCATTCACTGTTGAAAAGCAGGATAAGGCTAGCCAAGGTGTGAGAACAAAGTTTCATACCCTAGGGGCAAAATCCTGTCAGGAGAAAACACACCCAGTACCCCTGTAGAATACAGGATGGTATCTGTGGGCAAACAAGAAGAGTTCAACAGGCTGGGTTGGAGAATCGGTGCAGAGTCCAACCGTAATGACCTGGGCGATGAAGTTGCTCCCAGTGGGGCTTTGCCGTTTGCAGAGAGCGGCTGTGGTGTCTTTGTCAGCTCCTTGACGCGCGGCTGCGGTAAGCCGCGGCTGTTGCAAGACCCAAAGTCGGAGCTCTACTCCGTATTTTTCGGAGTTATCAAAGTGAACAACAGCCCATCAGAGAACATTTCGACATGCTCCTGCTACTTCAAGGATAGCTCTCTCTTACCACCATCATGAATCGGTATCGCAATATCCCCGGCTTAAGAACAACATCCAAGGCAACAGCCACTACTCTCTGCCAAAAATGTCTCAAAAGAGATAAGTCTTGAACTATTTCATTTCATTTCATTTCAATAATGACTTCAGTTGACAGAACAACACGGCACTATAGCTATGAATGTAAAGCATCTGCTCAAGAACGGCCCTACACTTCCCGTCCGTCCAGAACACAACAGCTAGCAAACCCAAAGCTGGTTCCAGAGCTGATGAGCGATGTTCCGAATGATTTATTGCGAACGTATGTTTACATGTTCAGCTCTCTAGCTGAATGTACCAGCTAACAATGTTCACAGCAAAGGCGTAGCTGATGAGCAACTGGCATTGAAGGAACGTGAACGGGGCCGCAATAGGGAAGACTCAGACTATGATAGAGACCATGACGATGCGACTCACCGGCGCCCTGAAAAACGGGTGAGATCAGTCTCTCCAGCATACTCAGCATATTCCGTTTCCACTATCTCAACAGACCGATCTTGGTCCCGATCACCACCACGAAAACGAGATATCCCCTCCTCCGCTAGATCAAGAGAACGTAAAAGGATGATAAGCAGAAGCGTTTCACCAGACTCACATCGTTCCTCCTCTTCTGCTGGAGGAAAGGCAACCACATCAAGGGAAAAGGGAAGGAAATACCCGCCGGCGAAAGAGATCACAAAGCCCAGTTGAACGAGGTCGGTATGGTTCAGACAGACGTGGCAGTTGGAGAAACAGGTCGCGAAGCCTGAGTATGGATCGGAGTTCAATCGCAAAGCACAGGCGATCCTTAACCCCAAGGGCTCTGGATCGAAACAGCCGATATCCAGATCGTGGCCGTGCTCGTCATCCACGCAGCTCCGAGAGAGCCCGAAGTATGTCAAGGAGTCCTTCAAGAGCACGGGGTCACGAACCCCCTTATGATAGAGCTAGAGGCGTACCCAAAAATCCCCCGCCTCGCAAGGAGCGAAGCTTAAGCCCCTTCAGCAAACGTTTGGCTTTAACTCAAGCCATGAATATGATAAATAGGTAATGGGTCTGGTGTACACGATAACTAGAAGGTATTTTCTCTGCGAAGGTGTGCAGTGTTTGTTTTGATTTGACCATCTTTGTGATAACTAGTCACGTTTCTCCAATTCCGAATGCTGTCGCCCGTGGCAAAACTCCGGGTTACAGTTGAACGTGGTTTATTAAAAGTTGGACGTGGTTTAAAAAAAGTGGGTCTGAAAAATAAACCATGCTCAGCTCTCACTCTCTCACTAAAATGCATACCCACTAAACATCTTTTACACACTCTCACTATATTATTAATCAGCTCTCATTTAGTCCTTCTACTTCAACATCTGAGACACTTCAACATCTGAAAAGCAGTTATAAGCTAGAATTAGTGATTAATATTAGTTAAAAGATAGAGCTTTGAGAAATAAGATAAAATCACTGTTCCCAACACATTTGAAGATGAGTGAGATATGTATGAGACATGACTAGTGTATGTAGTTTTAATGGGGGGTTTGACATGGTTTATGGACAAAACCACGCCGAAGGTTATTCCGGCCCGAAAAATTAACCATGTTCAACTTTTTATTAACCACGTTCAACTGTACGCCCGCAAAACTCCGGCCACTTTAGAGCAAGGATCCGTAGATATTCCCATATACTAAATTTCATCGTGCTTCAATTCTCAATTTAATACTTGCCGATATTACAGAGCCCCAAACCAGAACGCCGTTCCTTGTACAGACTCCCTGCATGATGTCCAGGATAGTGAAAATAATTAAATCAAAAAAATGGCAACAACCAATCGTAACAATCAACCCATCTCTGTGTCCTCTTCCCTCTCCCTCTCCCTCTCCCTCCTCTCTTCTTCCGCTTCATCCCTTTCCTTCAGGTGTATTCCTTCAATGAGGGCCCCTCCATCGATGCCGACCTCTTGGCCATCTCCATCAACGTTGCCCTCTGCAGAAGCCATGTTATTCTTCTCCTTCGCGTCCCTTTGCGCATTCTGTATCCTATCCCGAACCAATCTAGCTATCGCATTCTGAGTTCTCACGTTTACGATCTTCATCTTCTCATCTAGGTCTCGTTTTAAATCCCAGTTTGGCTTTTTAGGTTGTAGTTTAAACAGGTCGATAGGTTTATCGGCTTCCTCGTCCTCCTTTGCAGCCCGTTCGGTGGATATCGCGATTTTCTGGGCTCGTTCTTCAAGAGTAGATTGCCCTTCTATTGGGGCATGTTCGAAACCGAGTTTTGGGCCCCGAGCCTCGGGATCGTAATTTCTTCCGGATAGGTATCGCGCAGAGACATCTGTTGGTGTCCCTTCCGTTGAAGTATGCTGGGAGCCATCCTGTTCATTGGGGTCTGGTTCGGACTGCTTTCGCTTCAGTGAGGCTAGCTTGGCTAGACGGGCTTTTCGGTCGATCGCCGCAGCATCGAGGGTAGAATGTGAAGATGACATGTCTATATTGTAAAGGGCAAGAGAAAAGGAGTAATGCCGACTATGTCAGGCAAAATAATCCAAACATGTGGGACCAAAAGGCGTTATTAGTTAAACTTCAGCCACAGCCACATATCAGCCTCATTTTTGCCTCAGCCACATCGTATAAAAAAGTTCGGATTGGCATCAAAAACATGCAGCAGACATCTTCCCACATCCACCCACGCCGTTGCATTTACCTTTCAATTATTCCTCATGTGAACGGCATATATACGCCAAATACTGTCAGCTGCGCTCTTTATGCTTGCCTCCCTGCATGCTCGCTCGCCCATGCAGTGTTTACCACTGCGAGCACCACTACTCGCAAGCAAGCAAGTGTTTGTCAATTAGGCGTCTTGCTTTCCGTCACGAAATCAACTTTTCCAGATATGTAACAAGATTTCATCGTAATCGCTCCGAGATCCACCTCGAAAATGTACAGGACCAGGATATTTCGTGCCTTAGATCCTCTGAACGGGGTCACCTCTTTTCCCTCCCCTCCCTGTACCAGTTGCAATTCCAGGACCCAGGGACACAAACTCGATATTCCTCCGGCAGAATTGCAATTTCACATATGGGGCTTATCCCCTTACGCAGGGGTTTTGCTATCTCCCGCTTTTGCAACTCCTCTATCCAACATCGATTGTTCACATCCACCCCAACCACCACCACCGAAACCAACCAAATCTATCAGATGGACCAAGATTCCTACAGGAATCAAGTTATCACATTTGAAGATACCAAGCCCAGCGCTGGCGCTCAAGAAACACAAATATACCCCATTGAGAAAGCAATCCCACGCAACTCGGTGCAGAAGACGAAAACACGTTGTTCAGATGTTGGGTCAACCCAGCCTTGCCCTGGTTCTGGTATACCGATGAGGCGAACGTGCGAGACAATGATAAATCAGGCAATAACCTCAACAGCTCGCGACACCCACCGCCATTTAGTTCGCTACCAGTTTTCTTCTGAATTCGCAGTGAGATCAGAGTGCCTTTATATTAATCCCCTCCTCCATCCCCACTGGAACGAAAATTTTGGTGTGCTGTTTTCTCATAAGGTCAAAGGGGAAAATATGGCCCGTGTGTGGGACAAACTGAAACTGGAACGGGAAGAGGAGGCTCTGGAATGGTTAGCTGGCGTCGACTGGACTTCGGAAGACCCTACACATTTGTCAAAGCAGTGGAGCAGGCTTCCCCGTCGGCAAAAAGAGACTCTGTGGCCTCCAATTACGTTGTGGTTGCTCCTCAATTCTCCTCGAGCGGCTCTTGCCTTCTTGTTAGCGACAGATATTTTGCCATCTCCTCCGTTTAGCATGGTCGCGAAATGCTTTCTTTATCTCGATGCCTTTCATTATGAAGAGCTTACGCGAGATGAGCGATCTAAACAATACTATCATGAGGCTTTGCATACTTGCCTAGACCCGGAGAAGTGGCCAGTCCTTAAGGCATATGAACGTGGCATACGCCTTTTCCTCAAACGAGGCACGCCCGAAGATGTGAATGAGGCCTTATCCACTATCATAAACAGGAGAATCCATATTGGTTTTGAGACAGCAACGTACCTCATGGATCTCTTCACCAAGCAGCGTGATATTCCGAGGGCACTAAGCTCTTTAAATCTAATTACGGATATTCGTGACTACCCTCAATATCTCTCAGATCTGAGATTTCAATATCGTTGCTGCAAACTTCTCACTTTGGACTATGTGATTGAAAAAAATGATGAACGGCACTTTAGGATCTTGCCTGAAATACTCAAAATTGGCGTCCCACTCAATCAACCTATGCTAAACATCATCTATCGCAATGCATTAAAACAAAATGCCCCTGCGTCAGTCCTGTACGTTCTTCATGAAATGGGGGAAAGCGGTATTCCTCCTGACTCGTATACCTACATCTCACTTCTAGATGATGCTGTGTCCCGCCGTGACCTCCAGCATCTTGATGTGATAATACGAGAAATCAGTAGTCAAGAAACCCTCAGGAAGAACCCATTTATTACTAGCAAGATGCTCCACGTTTTCTATTCACTGGACCGCGTTAATCCCGATGAAGGCTGGGGAGATACTGATGTCTTTGGTCGCATGCTGAAGATATACAATGCTGCACATGACATCCAACCCCTCGTGGATCTAGGTGTCGTCCGCGTAGACGAGTTCGCCCTAGAAGAACGTGAAAAGTCTACAAACTCCCTTCCCTCCAGCCATTCTCTTGTTATCATGATTTCTGCGTTTCTGAGGATTCAGAGCGTTCGCCAAATCAACAACATGTTCGATCGTTTTCTATACCTTCGCGACCAAGGGCATGAGTCTTTCGGCCCGCTGGCGGAAAGTGACTATATATTTAACGTGTTTCTCCAGGAGTTTGCGCAGCGGCGTTCGGGTCGGTTAAAAAACTGCGTCAGGGTACTGGATACGATGCTGCAACCACTTCCTCCCACTGCAATTCTGCGATCTCAAAGCAACCGCCAAATCAAGCAAGTTAAACCGACCGTTCAAACGTGGACCATTCTCCTTACCGCGTTTGTCCGCAATCGACACCCCAACGCCGTCGACAAGATTCGCGTCATGATGCAAGAGCAAGGTTTGAAGTTCAATGAGGTCACTTGGAATGTGGCCGTCGCAGGATTTTCCACAATGCAGATGGTGGATGAGACTGCGAATGCTGTGAACACTATGATGAAGGAAGGATGGGCTCCTGACGACTATACATTCCATAGTATGCAGTGGATCCATGAACGTGATCGATTAATTTCTCTCATGGATAATAAAGCCAGCATCGGCGGTCGTACGCAGTGCGGATTAGCTGATGATGAAGGGTCCGAAGGGCCTGTCGAGATTGAACGACACGATGAATCTTGTGAAAGCGAAGGATACGATTGGCCGGTTTAACGTCTAGAGGATGCGGAGATGGCGGATTGACCACTCTCCTAACTGGTATAATACCCTGGGTGGCGTTTTTGATCATGAACATGTATATTATTTGAGACTTGATATCTATTTTTCATTCTGTTGCACTGTACGGTGGCCCTGATGGGAAATGTGGCATTTTATTAGGTGTATACTCATTGTATGAATATAAGCTCAAGAACGCTATAGACAGACCCTTGAGTGACAAACGAGAAACAATCTCATGCGGAAATTTCAAAAATTTGATTGCCATGTTCCGAAAAATCTAATCCTGCAGAAGAAGAGCATAAATGCCCTATTTCACGAACAAACGAAACTCCCAACGCCATGCATTCCTTTACGGTAATAGAGAATCCTCGCGAGAGGAAGGGGTTTTTAACTCTTCCCCTTTTCACTGTCCAAAGAAAAGAGAAATCTAAGATCCGCCGTTTTCCGTTAGTAAAAAACCATTATAAAAAAACTGCAAGCGCCTCAGCGACATCGTGGAAAATGCAGCATTTCCCACCCTCATCCCCATAAACGTTCACTTACCGCCATCGTCAAACAACACAAACTGACGTACGGGCTTAGCCGTTCCCCAACCCGGGCGCATTTCCAGAATATCCCGAAAAAGCTGTACATATTCCACCAACAGAGAGAAGTTAGTCGAAAAAAGCCTAATAAAGCCTATATTTCCTCACCAGGGTTCCGGTAAAATTCCATACCCGTTCTGGTTGCGGTCCATAATGCCCGGCATTATCGAATGGGCGTAGGCACTTGTACAGATGATCAGGACGATAACGAGGAGAAGGGATTGGAAATTGAAGAGGGCAGTCTATCAAAGAAACACAACATTATTAGCTTTCTAGGCAAGGGCTGAACAGCAACGGAGCTTGTCTACTGGCATAGTCTGTTGTCACTTACCATGGTGAGTGATTGCTTTGTTGTTTGTTGAAGACGGATTCAGTCGGTCCCGGGCAACAAAACTCTTCAATGCAGTTACCTTCAGAAGCCCAGTTTCTCATGACACGCCGTTCGTGTATCCACACCGTCCGTTACGCCAAAGCTAGAAATATCACCAACATCATCATCGTATCGTGTCGAGAAGCCTAACTCGCTTAGCTCATCACTCTCGCTTCATCATCCAACAATATCGCTAAATAACGCCAAGCTTAAATTAGACGCGCGCCACTCCAACTCTATCTAAGCGCTATGGCTCAACCTTCACCGGGAAGGAAATGTATCACACTGGGCGGTTTCGACTACTTGGTCCAATTTCCCACGCAAATCCCTGGCCATTACGAGCTCGAACACTTGCTGGAGCCTACAGGCGCGAATAGGGTACCTGCGACGCAGGAGACGCCGACTCCCAAGGGGACAGATGTGGGGATACAGGGAGCGAACGAGACGAACAGCAACTATCTAGCCCGCCGCAAATTGAGACAGCTGAACACCGGCATGGCTGAACCGCGGGTTCGACTTACCCGTCATCAAGGTCAACTGAACTTTGGAAATGAGCGTATGTTCCCTTTCTTTGTATCCTTCCATGTCATCTTGCGGTTGTTAGTCTTCTTTTCTTGACCTAACCTTACGAATGGAATAACAGTACGCCACCTCCTCCATGCCTATGGAGATCCAGCCCCCCACTCTTCCTACCCCCAGGAACCCCTCCCAGAAACCCTGCGCGTCCTCGACGAGATCGTAACAGACTTCATAATCGAAACATGCCACTCCGCGGCACAATGCGCTACCTACTCCCGCCGTCAGAAAATCAAAGTGGACGACTTCCGCTTTGCACTACGCCGTGACCCTGTCAATTAGGCCGTGTGCAGGAACTATTTCGCATCGAGCGCGACTTAAAGAAGCCAGGAGGGCTTTTGATCAAAACGATGACCAGTTGGGGCTAGTGGGAAAAAGGGGCTGGAAGAGTTCACCGAGTCACTCGTTGATGGGGCAGATGGGTCTGTGGCTGGAAGGACCGGAACGGGAATGACTGTGGGGAAGAAAGGGAAAGAGAAGGCTTCATCTGTTGTTGTTACGGGGAAGAGAGGGACGGATTCGATTTCTGAAGGGGGCATGATGAAAAAGCGGAAGAGTTTAGGGGGTTCCGTTCCTTAATGTGATGTGCATAAGACTTGGAAGTGCAAAGGTTTCGTGTTTTTATTATTTCGCATATTTATTTAGATGTTTCGGTTTTCATATTTGCATTGCAATGGCGTTTGGAGCAAGGATGGATTTTTACTCTTATCAGGCTGCTGGGTTCAAGATAGCGGACTTCAACAACCTTCAGTATCTTTCTTACCACGTATAAAATTCAAACACACTTCAATAAAGTGATAAAGTTAAGTCTAATTTAAAATTCTATACGCATCATTGGTATCCCATCTTTCATATTCCACCATTGACGAGCTATCCATCGGTTCATTGTCGCTTACGAAGATAAGAATGCCCTTTTATCTTCTTTTGAGAATAAACTGGTAAAGGTGGCCGTAAAAGGCGAACTACATGAACAAAAGAAGATGAGCAGCGAAAGATAAAATATATTCCAATAAAACGACTCCAATGACGCCTTGCATTTTGCCCCAACCCGAGCAACCCTGCGACTGTATGGTAAAATCGGGGGCAAACCATATTCGCTGACTACATCCCGAGGGAGATAGAAGTGAGAATATAGTCTTGAAGGATGAACCATTAGACGCAAGTTAGTATTTTTTTTCGTCGCAATTTCATACAATTGCATGTATTAAGTTTTCTGCTATGCTTCGACTGCAACGCGTTCTTGATTTCGTTGCTGGCCACCGCGTCCCCGGCCACCACCACGACCGCTTCGCTGTCCTCCTGTTTCTCCAGCTGCGGCGGCTCCCGTACTCTCGCCACCAAGGGTAAGTTGTGCAGTGGCTAGTCGGTTGGAAAGTTCCATTTGTGTGCGAATGGTGTTGGCAAGATACGAAACCACAAGGACATCTTGGATGTGGTTATTACTGCGAACACAGAGTAGTTGTTAGTTTCGAACAATGAATAGACAAATCGGAGTGGAAAGGAAGAGAGCGCACAAGTCATTTTCAATATCAGCAGGGTTAACTTTTGGAGCCAAAGCGAGAGCATTAAGAAGGAATTGTCCAAGAGCCGTGGAAGCGGGGGCTTCCTCATCCATCACAGACTCGACGTATTTCGATACTCGATCGATCATGCCCAAAACATCCTCGATGGCTTTTTCTAGCGCCTCAATATCCGTGAACAGATTAGCTGTCCTATTTTCGCTATCTCTTGCGGCAGCGATCGCCTCCAAGCCATTCTTCTCAGCGTCGCCATATCTAATTTCATAAGGCACAGGTATGAATGCGGCGCTGTCAGCGGCTCTTTCCGCTGTCACACCTACTGGCGCTGAGATGTATGTCCTAGTCTCAATATCCTTCCCTGGGGCCGTAGACACGGTTAAATGTACGGCTGGGTGAGGCCATGTTCCATCTCCTGAACCGCCGTAAAAATTCTGGATGAGCGCAGAGAACGTGTTCAGTTCTGAGGATGTCGCGTACCAACCCACAAGAACTTCCTTTGGGTTAGCTTTCAAGTGTAGCGCAAGCATTTGCTTCTGGTATTCCATATCAACCTCGACCTGATCGGTTGTTTCCGTGTGCCCGACGGCGAAACAGGAGCGGATCTCAACTTCAGTGCCATCCTCGGATCGGGTCCCCAGTAGAGTACCAATGACCCGCTCCTGGTCAGCATTGCGACGAAGGGAATGATCGAGGATTGAAAAAATCGCCTATAAATGTATTAGCATGTTATAGTAATCTTCGATTTTCTCAGGAGGAGTCGTATGCTTACTTGTGGTTGTATCACAACATTAAGAGGGGCGGTAGAGGCTTGAGCGCCAACCAGAGCCGGTCCCAGAGGCCGCGAAAGATGGAGAAATGAATCGGTATCAGCCATGCTGGGCAATTGTATCTGTAATATGATCCCAGCCACAAGCGTCAGTATCGGCGGTGGGAGGTGTCTTGTTGGCGTGGAGAGTTGCCGTTGTGGTGGTCAAATGAGGCTCAAATTGTGTGTGCGGACCCAAGACGAGATTTCACACTAAGATAAGATAAGATCCGCCAACCCTTTGAGAGAAAAAAGATGCGCATCAGTACAATGACAAGCAACAGCACAATGCACAGCAGCCCTTAAAGCACCCGGCTACCTATTACAAGATGGCCGCACCACGTGGGAGAGGTAGCAGGTCTTCTAATTCTCGAGGCGCTAGAGGGGCTCGTGGAAAAAGGCAGCGCGGCGGCCGTCCGGCTTTCGAAACTTCCAGGGTAGAACAAAACAAGTAGGTTCCTTTTTCTTTCCAATTTCTACAAGGCAATAACTGATATAGCTAAGCCATGAAACTTCCTCCAGTGATGATGGCTTATCTGGGAGTGGCGCAGAGGCAGAGAGCCCGCCAATTGATGAGCTGTCGTCAGACAGCGATGACGACTACGACGCCGACGGTGAAGAGAAAAAAATGGAGAAGCCGTACAACACATTATTACAGTTGTTCAACACTAGCCAGGATACAAATGGCCCTGTTCGGAAAAGACGGAAAGTCGACCACAATTCCAAGAAAACCGAGATTCAGGTTGAAGAGCAGGATGAGCTTCATGATGAAGCTGACTTGTCCGAGCCGGAGATCACAGATGATGATGAGATCGAGGATCCGGCGGATGTAGCTGCGGAGGAGGTTGAAGCCGGAGACTCTGGAGACGAGAACGACAGTATGTTATTTTCTACCCAAAATATACTTACGTATTCTAACAATCTTCGTCCAGCAACCGATCCATTTGAAACACATTTTTCAATTGTAGATAGTTCATCGCTCTCACTAAATATAAAAGCCATCTCTTCAAAGGGCTGGCTGTCACATAAAAGCGAACTTCCAGGCAGACTCAGGCTTATATTCAGCCATCCAGATACTGGTGGGGATACAGTGCAACTTCCAGCTCCTATCCATGGGCTCCAGAGTTTGAAGGTATGCACCACACGCTAAGCATGCAAAAAGTTATCAAGCTAATATTCCTTACAGCTGAAGCAAAAACTTGCTCTCCATGCAGGAGACCACATTACTAAATTTGACAGCCTTACATCGGGCCTTGTCCCTAGCATTTTCGGCTACCAAGACCTCCTTTTCGGGGCCCGAACGTTATCCAACTCAGCAAGGTTCCGAGATCTCTACTGTCTTCATGTCCTAAACCATATACTCAAAACTCGAGACAGGGTGTTGAAAAACAACTCCCGTTCACAAAAGGTGCCTGACCAGGATCTGGAGCTACGAGACCAAGGCTTTACGCGCCCCAAGGTGTTGATCATCTTGCCCACTCGACAGGCGTGTGTTCGAGTTATGGAATCTATAACGAAATTATATCACGCAGAGCAGCAAGAAAATAAAACCAAGTTCTACGATACCTTCTCTGCTGCTGACGATAAATCGTGGGAAAACAAACCCGATGACTTTCGAGAGTTGTTTGGTGGGAATGACGATGATATGTTCAGGCTAGGGCTGAAGTTTACGCGGAAAACCATCAAATATTTCTCGCACTTCTATAATTCTGACATGATCCTGGCGAGCCCGCTTGGTCTTAGGATGGTTATGGATAAAGAAGAGTATGTAAGAATACGCCCCTAATGTCTATTCGAGACCAACAAACTGATCATGGCCTTGCCAAAATGTTACAGTAGTAAAAAGCAAGACTTCGATTTCCTTTCGTCAATCGAAGTGGCAATTGTCGATCAAGCAGATGCCCTTCTAATGCAGAACTGGGAACATATTGAATACGTTTTCTCACACTTAAACCTTCAGCCGAAGGAATCTCATGGCTGTGATTTCAGCCGCGTTCGCAACTGGTACCTGGATGGCCAGGCCAAATACGTCCGCCAAACACTTGTCTTCTCATCCTTCATTACCCCTGAAATAAACGCCCTGTTCTCATCCCAGATGCAGAACACGGCTGGCAAACTCAAAATTACTCCCACATACGCAGGTGCTATCCTGGACCTACCGCTGCCCGTCCCAGTCAAGCAGACTTTCTCTCGCTTTGATTCCACCTCGCCCGTAAACGATCCCGAAAACCGCTTCAAGTACTTTACAAATGCTGTACTGTCGCCTCTCGTCCGTACCTCGACGGGCGGCAGAGGGAACCCAAGCGCATCTGGGACTTTAATCTTCATCCCATCTTACCTAGACTTTGTCCGTGTCCGCAACTACCTTGCAACCTCGTCGCAGACGGAAAACCTCTCTTTCGGCGCCATATCGGAATACACCTCTGTACGTGAAGTGGCTCGCGCACGCACACATTTCTTCAGCGGCCGCCACTCGGCACTGCTCTACACGGAACGAACCCACCATTTCCGCCGTTACCAAATCCGGGGAGTGAAGAGGGTGATTATGTATGGTGTTCCGGAGAACCCTGTTTTCTGGGCGGAGATTGTAGGTTTTCTGGGCTTGGATCCAGCAGGGGCAGCGGAGGCAGCGGATGGTGGAGTTCGAGCGTTGTTCTCAAAGTGGGATGCTTTGAAGATGGAGCGGATTGTTGGAACAAAGAGGTTGGGAAACATGCTAATTGAGAAAGGGGGAGATACGTTTACTTTTGTATGAGTTTGCTTGCTGTGTTAATGGGGTGACATTGTCCTTTTCCTTCAAGAGTACTCATGATATACCCACCAGGGAAATCCTCCCAGTTAGTTTATTAATACCCTTGCACAACTAATCTGTAGTTATATTTTATAGCCATATGCCACGACACAATACATTTTGGTCTCATCAACCGCCATCATTTTTACTACTCGAGCATTTTATCGGCCACTCTGTAATTAGATTCCCATCAGAATATTTCAGAATAGACCTTACCACAGCCGAGAGCAGCCCTGTCGTTTGAGTTGTGATCTCCCTACGCTTTTTGCCTTTTCTTCCTCTTCTTTGCTTTTTTATGTTTGGATCTGAACCAGAGGGCCCATGTTCCCCGCCGCCAAATAATTATGCAGAAGCCCGATAACGAGGGTCAAAGCACACTTCATTGGAAAGCAATATCCGAGGATAGTAGTATTCCGCCCGTGCATATTCGCAATAACTAGCTAATTAATTTAAATGTCGTTTCAAGCTTGCATCCACGGCTTTCCTTAGCTGATAGATATCTGAATAAACTAAAAACCTCAGAAGCCGGCTGGCTGGTTGAATCCGAGCTGAAATGCTGCCTATATTTCAAACAATGAATCGATGCGCCATACGCATATTCCTCGTCTAATCGGCGTCAACTGTTCACTGCTTGCAGGGTACGGGCCCACGTTCCTTCATGTTGCTAACCGTGGATGCATTAACTAGCCAAAATTCATTGCACTAAATAGGGCGCCTCTCCCCGAGTTTCCTGTGCGTTGTGCCCGGCGCATAGACCGCTCTATGAACATATTCTCCAAAAGGACAATTTGCAGTTGAAAAATTAAAAAAAAAAAAAAAAAAAAAAAAAAGGGAAGAAGAAACTCCACATCCTATCTTCTGGGAACAACTGCCCGCCCACAAGAGTGCTTCGCAGGGTGTTCATCTATCCAACAACCCTTAAAGGGCCCTGTTGATGGGCAAATACGCACAGAGAGAAAAGGAAGATAGATATAACTAGATAACCATGACTGGTGGACAAACTTCGCGGGGAGAGGGCGCCAGAGAACACGACAGCCTATTATCTTCATCTCGCCCACGCACAGCCATTGGAGTTGCTCCCTCAGCCGGTACGCATCCTGACTGCATCCTACCCTGTCGTATTCGTCCGGAGAATAAAACGAATGATGATGTATCCGGTTCTCAAGCTCCGCTCCTCCAACGCACTCCGCCAACCGGTTCCGAACCACCCAGTTCCCAACGCAGCAACAAGGGGAGCCGTGTGCAATCATGGCGCCGCAAGCTCTGGCAATCCTGGCTCATGAGCAAGGGGATGCTCATGGTAATGCTGGCTCAGTTCTTCGGTGCGTCAATGAACGTCATGACCCGCTCTCTTCAATTGGATGGGAGTCATGGGAAAGGAATGCATCCGTTTCAGGTTTGTAATACTATGTCTCTTTTTTCCATCGTCGTCTCTTCTTTATATATACTCTCTTTGATAAATGATAATATATCATGACATGATCATTCTACCCCGCCCCCACCCCCAAAATGAAGAACCTTCAAAAAAGAAAAAAGAAAAAAAAGAAGGGGAAAACAGAGGGAACAGAAACAATCTGACAACATCCCTTCACAGATCCTCTTCGCGCGCATGGGCATCACCGTCCTCCTCAGCCTGCTCTACATGCTCTACGCCCGCGTCCCACACCCCTTTGGCGCCCGCTCGATCCGGTCCCTCCTCTTCCTCCGCGGCATCAGTGGCTTCTTCGGCGTCTTCGGCCTGTACAGCTCGCTGCTCCACCTCGCCCTCTCGGAAGCCACCGTGCTCACCTTCCTGGCCCCCATCGGCTGCTGCTACGTCTGCTCGCTAACCATGCCCAACGAGACCTTCACGCGCAGACAGCAGGTGGCGGCGCTAGCGTCGCTGCTGGGCGTTGTGCTAATTGCACGACCGGCGTCGTTGTTTCGTGGCTCTTCGCACGTATCCGCATCGTCTTCTTCATGGTCATCGACGCACGTTGAAGCAAGCTCAGCAGACTCAGCAGACGACGCCTACAAACGCACCCTCGGCATTCTCGCCGCACTCATAGGCGTCATGGGCGCGACGGCCGCGTACACCTCCATCCGCGTCATCGGCAAGCGCGCCCACCCGCTCGTCAGCGTCACGTATTTCAGCGGCCTAACCACGATCATCTCGCTGCTGGCCGTCGCGCTGATACCCGGCATCAGCTTCCGCCTTCCCGGCAACATGGCGGAGCTTCTGCTCCTGCTGGGCCTTGGGGCGTGCGGGTTTCTGTTGCAATTTTTGCTAACGGCGGGGTTGTCGTACGTGCCTCCCCCGTCGGCTACGGGTGCGGACGTAGAGCCCCTCCGGAAGGGGTGGGGGGTCAGGTCGGCGAGGTAGTGGGGGGCCCCGGTATCGTCGGGGGTGCGAGGGCGGCGGCGGAATGAAGAAGTGAAGAAAGAAGAGATTGCGAAGCCGTCCACGCACGGCTCCAGGGCGACAACCATGGTGTATACGCAGATGCTCTTTGCGGTGTTGTATGATAAGGTGGTGTTCAATGCGACGCTGTCGCCGGTTAGTTTGGCTGGGTCGATGATCATTTTGGCGAGTGCGATGTACGTTGCTTTGGTGAAGGAGCGGAGGAAAGACGTTGGTTCTGGCGCTGGTGCGGATGAGTACGCTGTTGTTGAGCGTCAGGGGGTGGGAGGAGAAAACGGGGATGGGGAAGGCAGTTGGGTTTCACGAGGACAACAGTCCAGACATGTGCAATCTTGGAATATCGAGGATGCGAGATTGGCGGAGGCGGGGGAGGGGACGGGGCTTTTGGCAGGTTATGTTGATGATGACGATGATTATGATTATTATGATTACGATTGTGATTCTGATAGTGGTAATGATAATGGTGATGATGGTTGAGACTGGGATTGGAATTGGAAATAGCCGTTTGAACCCCGGAAGGAACAGGCCTCATCCATCCCATTTGTGGGAAAAGGGGGAGGGCTACGATTTTATATAAAGCTATACACATTTGATTCCTTATAGATACATATAAACTGGAACAATAGACAAAATAAAATTGAACGCTTATTTCCCTAGTATCTATATCTGTTATCTAAGAATTATATTTTATATTCATAATGATATACGAAAGATATATAAAAACCATTCCATTCCATTATAATTAACTATGCACGTCTCTTTCTTTCTTTCATTCCTTCGATCTCTCGTTATTTTTTTGGTTAAGATCCATCTTCCCCCCTTTTGTTTTGTTTTTCAAAAATAAAACTTAAAAAAATAACTTATTTTCCCATTCCATCCACCCGTCCATCTATATTAAAGCGAAAGACTCGTGTACAGCACTTCGTACATAGAAGAATAACAGAAGGGGGGCACAATAAAAAGGAAAAGAAAAAGAAAAAGAAAAAATACCCTTTCCCCTGAACTTCCTCCACAACCACATATACAACAAAAAACCTCTGAAAAAGTTACCATATATAACGCTTACAAGGGCTTGGGTGAGGGTGTGTTGGGGTGCACATGTCCCCGACGAAGAACTGAGTATTAAATGAAGTCCTGCGATTCAGCTGCTCGTTAGCCCTTCTGCCGCACCGCTACCGCTACCGCTACCGCTAGCAGTAGCAGAACCGGAAGTTTCCTTAGTCCGTCCGCGCTCCTCCCCCTGCTGCTGCTGCTGCTGGGTAAACGTATTCCTACTCGCGTTCCGCTTATTATTCCCATTTTCGCGATCCTCATCGCTGCCCGATGGTGAGGAGAGTGCGGCGTCTGCATGGTTGTCCGTATCGTGGAGAGAGGTGAGGCTGCGGGTCATCTGTTTTTTTAATTTCTTGGATGTTAACATTTATAGCTGTGTGTGTGTGTTGGTGGTAGGTTGTGTGCGGATCTTAATTAGAAGGGAACGGGAGGAGAAAAAGCATAAAAGCAAACACTCACCCAAGCCCTAACCCCCCCTATCAACCCTAAGCTATAGCCCGTTGCAAAGTCCTCGCTCCTTCCTGGCCCAACCCCCGGACTCTCAGATCGACCGGGCATTTCCAACCGCCCCAATTGCGTTCGACTCCCGCTCCCAATGCCAAAATAACCATTATGACTATTACTATTATTGTGATTCCCGGGACTGGTAGCGCAGGCCCCTGCCCCTCGATTATTACCACCGAACCCGAACCCGCCGACGCTGCCGTCCACGCTGTTTCGCGCTGGACTCGAGGGCCGGCTATTCAGCCAAAACTGGCGCAGCTCCTTGCCCAGCTCCTGGCCGGTGGCGGACCAGTTATTCTTGATGCTATCGCGCAGCTCGGCGACGTGGCGTTTGATATCGAGCTCATTCTTCTTGAGCCAGGAGACGTTGAGTTCTTGGCGCGAGGTGCCACGTTTCAGTTGGCGGGTGATGTATTTTTCGTAGTCGCGGACGATGCTGTTGCGGGTTGGGGGCAAAGAAATCTGTTAGTTATATAGATATAATAAGAGAGCAGAAAAAGACAAAGAAAATTAGAGTAATATTATATATAATGTAACATGAAGAAGGAAGGAGATAGAAGAAGACATACTGAGTAATAATGCCTGTCGTACTGACACCCTCCGTCCGCTGCGTAACAAGGAACTTGCCCTGCGCCTTGATGGGAGCGTAGATGTCATCACCCTCCGCGGCTCCGTATGGCAAATCGTCATGGGCGACGTAGTCAATTTGATGTTTCTCCAGGAACTCCGGCGTGACGATCCATGGGCAATCAGGGATGACCTCATCAACCCATCGGCAATGGCGGACGGTCTCCGACCTCTCGGCACCGGTCAACACGGTCAACCCCTTGCGCTTGTGCGTCTCATGGTCAGACGTGACGCCGACGATAAGGTACGTTTCAGGAAATGCTTTTTTTGCTTGTTCTAGCTGGCGCATGTGGCTATACCATATATATGGAAAAAGAGGAACATTCCAAATCAATTATCTCACGGCCCAAAACAAAACAATAAGCAAACAGAAAATAAAGGCAATGAAATAAACATCGCGGGGAAGCCCAAGCTCAAGGGAAACGCAAGCAAGATGGGATCTACAAGGAAAACGAGACGAAACTTACCCAAGATGAAACAAATCAAACACCCCATCCGCATACACGCGCACCGGCCTTCCCGTCGGCGGCGGGT